AAACTAAAAACTACTTCCAAAAACATTCAGCTTTGATATTAATGAGTTTTTTGGGTTCATTGAGAACATGGTTGTTGTTCAATAATAAAATTATTCCTGAAAAATACAACTTGCCTAATAATTCTGCACTCCCTGTAGAGTGTGGGAGGAGCCTTCAACCTGAGTGATATGTGAAACAGCCAATAGGATTGTGCCAGTGCTAAACACCCACTACCTTACTCATAGTCAAATTATAGACCATAAATAACTAATTTAGAAGTTAAAAAATGTTTGCATATGTTGGTGGTTAACATCCCACTGTTACACTGTTTGTTTGAAATGCCTCCAAAAGACTGTCTGAACTTTAATAAACCTACAATTCTCCTTCTTAGATCTTCACTGACTCTTTTAGACTTTTCAGTTGTTCTGAGTGGTTAAAATGGGACTTGACAAAAATTACAATAATATCTATTCAGAGCTCCAGGAGATTTTCTTTGTGTAACGGTTGTGATGAGCTGACCTGTGTTGCTGCTGCTTTGAAGTTTACTGCTCTTTAATGATTTGCACAACTAAATTCAACAAGGTGTAAGCAGATGCATCCCATAATGCTTTCCATTAACTACTGTTTATATTGTCTTTATCATATAGAGTATAAAGTTGGTATAAAAACTGAATGCAGTGAATGAGTCAAAGTATCACCAACATAAGTTCTAATTTACCTGAGCTGCACATGATGTAATAGTGACCATGAATGCACCGTCACTGTGCACCAGTGCAACACACACACACACACACACACACACACACACACACACACACACACACACACACACACACACACACACACACACACACAAATTATACAAGGCCTAAGGTTCAAGAAGCCAAAATGCAATTCAGCCTTTGCTCAGCTACTGTGAAAGAGAGAAGGTGCGACAGAAATCATAGGGAAATGTTAGAACGTGCTTATCTTACTGTCTAATAGGTAACTTTTATGCATATGTCTTCTCATCTGTCACTGCACTCCATTTAAAAAAGGATAAATGATACAAGGTCTTTATTTTAATTTGCTAGGTTTATCAAGCCGATGAGGTCAGAATGCAGTTCAGTTTCTGCTCAGTTCTGATACTGGGAACACATAGCAGAAATGAAATAGGGAAATGTTAGCATGTGCTTATCTTGCTAACAGATAACTTTCATGTTTATGCATGCCTATGCAGATGAGAAGGAAAAAGAAGTAATTATCGTACATATATGCTGTATGGTGAACATTTTGACCTTAAAAGATCCAATATTCAACATTAAAATAATCTTTAAAAGTGAATACAAACATCTGTTTTAATTAAAGCACAGTTCAATTATAGACTAAGCTCGCACCAGCTATCAGTGTTTAAGTTATGTATTAAGAATGTCTATAAAACACAGACAAGTAAAAGTAATATTAATAGTAATACAGAGCAAGAAAAATGACCTTGACAAAACCACGGGGCAGCTAAAAACAGGAAGGTTTCTGGAAATGATTTTAAATAATCATTTGTTGGAAAGTATACAGAGTGTCGAGGAAAACCTGTTATTTTACTGTTACTTGGTTATCATTTACAGGCACTGTCATTATTTCATCATTACTTCATTAGTCTGTATTACTTATCTTCAGTTTATCATGTATCATTTATTGTTTATTTCAGAGCACGTAGGATAAAACCCATTCTAGATGTAATACTCTATCATGTGGCGAAAGCACCTCTCGAGCTAGAGGGTCCA